GGGTGGGTTCTGGTGGGTGCCAAGGGGTCCTGGTGGGTTCCAAGGGGGTCTCAGGTGGGTCCTAAGGGGGTCCCAAGGGTGCTGGGGGGTGTCCCAAGAGGGTCCCAGGGGGTTCTGGGTGGGTTTTGGGGGGTCCCAAGGGGTCCTGGGTGGGTTCTGGTGGGGCCTGGGGGGTCCCAGGTGGCTTCTGGTGGGTCCCAAGAGGGTCCCAGGAAGTCTTGGTGGGTTCCAGCGGGTCCCAGGTGGGTTCTGGTGGGTCCCAGGGGGGTGTCAGGGGGTCTCAAGTGGGTTCTAGTGGGTCCCAAGGGGGTTCCAGGGGGTTCTCGGGGGTCCTGGGTGGGTCCTGGTGGGTCCAAAGGGGTTCTGGTGGGTCCTGGGTGGGTTCTGGTGCTCCCAGTAGGTCCCCGTGGATTCTGGTGGGTCCCAGGGGGTTTCTGGGTGGGTTCTGGTGAGTCCTGGGTGGGTTCTGGTGGTCCCAGGGTGGTCCCAGTGGGTTCTAGTGTGTTCTGATGGGTTCTGGTGGGTCCTGGGGGGCTTTCAGTGGGTTCTGGTGGGTCCTGGGTGGGTTCTGGTGGTCCCAGGGTGGTCCCAGTGGGTTCTAGTGGGTTCTGATGGGTTCCGGTGGGTCCTGGGGGGGGGTCTCGGTGGGTTCTGGTGGGTCCTGGGTGGGTTCTGGTGGGTCCCAAGGGGGTTCCAGGGGGTTCTCGGGGGTCCCGGGTGGGTCCTGGGGGGGGTCTCGGTGGGTTCTGGTGGGTCCTGGGTGGGTTCTGGTGCTCCCAGTAGGTCCTCATGGATTCTGGTGGGTCCCAAGGGGTTTCTGGGTGGGTTCTGGTGGGTCCCTGTAGGTCCCAGTGGGTTCTGGTGGGTCCTGGGTGGGTTCTGGTGGGTTCTGGTGGTCCCAGGGTGGTCCCAGTGGGTTCTGGTGGGTTCTGATGGGTTCTGGTGGGTCCTGGGGGGGTTCTGGTGGATCCCAGGGAGTCCTGGGTGGGTTCTGGTGGGTCCCAGGATGGTCCCAGTGGGTTCTGGTGGGTCCTGGGTGGGTTCTGGTGGGTCCCAGGGAGTCCTGGGTGGGTTCTGATGGGTTCTGGTGGGTCCTGGGTGGGTTCTG